CAAAAAAAAAAAAAAATAACACTTTTTTTTGTGATGCTGGCAAGAAAGGAAACTAACAGTTATACCAGTAACCTTTGGGGCTAATTGGGCTTTCTTTCATGAATAAAAGGAGAAAGCGCAAGAAGGGTAGGTTGAAGATCTTTTTATGGCCACACACAAAATTTTGTCTCACCTCTCATCTACTAGGAAGTGGGTAAAGTATGGTCACATAACAACAAATGATACATATGTGACAATGGTATACTGGAAAACACTATTGAAAGATGAGGAACTCTGATGCAATTTTCTTATCAGGGAACATGGCTCAACCAAAAACATGATACACAAGAGCGAGGGCACCCTAAACAATCGGATTGGCATTCAAGCCCAAAATTAGTGCATTTGGGTTATCTTAAAGAGCCGATTAGACCACGATGTTACCAGTGGGATCCAAAACAGAAATTAGGAAGCATTGAATAACATAGATTGAACAGGATGGATATTGAATTCAATAGTCCACTGCAGACATTTCTCTAAGACAGTATTCACAGGGAAGGTAGCAAAGATTCCACGAAAAAAAAAAGAAACGTATTCTACAACTTGGACAATTTACAACCGTGATTCACACGGAAAAATGCAACAGTTTCAGGGAAACTATGTGTTTCTTTGACAAAAGAAATACATGTAGTAGTAACCGCCGGTACCTCATAAAGTATGTTCCATTTTCCCACATCCAATCATGAAGGACGTTCCTCATTAGAATCCAAGATATCCATTTCAGAAAGTCTGTTTGAGACTGGAAGTTGCTTGCGCATTAAGTGCTTACGTCTCTGCAATGTCAACAAGATCAAGATGCTATCTGTCTTAACAATACTATAACCTGCTTTTGTATACATTTTGAATGGAGCTTCATCAATCATCCTGCAGTGCAAGTAAACCTCCCTTGAGGAATTCATTTGAGATATTAGTTCCTCACTTGCCTTAAGAAGATGCCAACCAATGCCCCTTCTGAAAAAGGAAAGAGATGAGACAGAATTCCTGACCTACAGGTCATCTAACCGCATTGCTGAAAACTTTGGCATAATTCCAGAATAGTGCCCCATAGACGATACCAACATAAACCATTCGCATTTTGTTCGCAAATAGCTTATCATTATATTATTGAATCATGATTTGGACATCATACTGACTCCAGCACAATTATCATGTCGATAGTGCTTTGACTTTAAATCAGGGAGGTAGAAGGAGGGGTGTTTTAACAATTATCATTTATCCGACAAAGAAATTGACACGGAGAGAACATAAACTATGAAACTAGCACATTGGCTTTTTCGCTGGGCCAGAGCCTAAAATAGAAATCAGCAAACCTATATGTTAAATGGTTCTAACTTAATACAGACTGAGCATACTGATAAAAAATGAAGCTCACATACGATAATAAAATGATGCTAGTATAGATTTCTATATGCCAAGAACAAACTGAGTAGTTAATTAATAAGACTAAGTATGTACAATATGCACAATTACAACACAAACGAATCTGACAGATGAAAAATAAGGAACCAAATGAAGAACGGCATTGATGAATTTAGTAGTTTTCTTCTTCCTACTATCACTTTCAACTTCATTCAGACACAATATCTTCTCGAATTCCTCTATTGACATGGACATGCAAGAAGCTACCCATATCCTTGACAAAACCGTATCATATTGAACAATTAATGTCACCTTAATTCCTTAGAAGCCTCACATGTTCTTCAAAGCATGAAAGATTTAAAGAAAATTGTACCAAAAGCATGCCTGACGATCCTAATTAACAGGCCATATAAACAACTTATTGCACCAACTCAAAGAATCTATCAAATTTCAACCAAGAACTATACTTTGGAATGAAAATCATAAAATCCAGTAACCCAAGAAACGATACAAACCTTCGAAGGGGCTTCTTTACCGCCATATTACTGATATACGGTGAATCCTTTGGAGGACTTGGTGTGGGAGGAGAAGCATTAGCACCCTTCTTGTCAAAACAAACATCCACGGTCCCTGCCAACTGTAAATCCTGTTCTTCACCTGCTCTATAGAAACCAATGAGTATCGCAGTGTGGGGCATCAGAGTTCTCCTCTCAATCAAGTACTGTTTCACCAAGAACCCCAAGAATCTCACATATCTCATAGGCAACAACATGGACTCTGCAAAAGATTCTGCCAACAACTCAACAGTCATGTCCATCTCTTCCTGCCTCATCACTCGAACCCACATAGACCCTGATTCCAATTCTTGGTAATATCTGAAATCCTCAAGGGATTGAAGCTTTTCAAGCTCTTCATTGGTGAGAAAACGCCCTGGAAGAAGTGGGTTTTGGAGAATTGATGGTGAAGTTGAAGACGAGGAAGAAGAGTGGGATGTAGAGAATGAAGAGATGAGGTTATAACGGTCAGATTTGGGGAAGATAACAAGTGGGTGAGTGTGTTTTGGGGAAAAGAATCGTGCTTGGTTTTTGAAGTGGGTGGTGTGGTAGAGGTGGTTATGGTGGTAATAGTGAGGCTGTGGGTCTAAGGAGAAACAGAGAGAAACTGTTGTGGCCATAGAAGAGAGAGAATAACTGTTGCTGTTGCTTTTGCTGTTGAAAGATAGATCAAGAGGAGAGAGAGTTTCACGAGATTGTTGGACAGCCTGAGCAGTGAGCACAATCTAGTTGGAGGAGTACTAAATTTGGCATATTATGGTATTAGGGCTTAATAACTTATCCTAATTTCGACTTACCAAAAAAAAGTTATCCTAATTTCGTAATTTATTCAAATTACCTATATAGTTTTCAAACTATGATCTCTTAAACCTTTTTTTTTATACCAATTGAATCCTGATCTCTCGAATTTTATTAATTAAACCATTATGTTCTTCTCTTTTACATTTTTTTATGAAAAATGGCATTGTGTCCCTCACTTAATTGGGTTGCAATTCATTTATGTCACGGTGATATAAATATTTATTTTTGAAAAATTACCGAATTTAATTATTGCATAATTTTGCTAACGATAGTGATTGGATATGTATACTCACTTTGATGCTAAACCCAGATGGTTGCTCAAAAGGTAACCTCGGACCATCAAGCCTAAGATGGGTGATCAGATATGAGAAAAGCTACTAAATTACATGATACTATTATAGCTTGGGGAAATATTTGAAGACTTGGTAAAAGTCAAAGAACAAGGAGTCTCTTCCCAAGACGCATTTAGCCTCTTAGTCAACTATCGCAATTTCAACTATCCAGATATAGCATTAATCGTCAATTGCAGGCGCCTGATCCAGCTACGCAACATCAAAGTGTTTCACATGCACTCGGAGAAGGAAATCGAAGTAAAGTTTAGGAGAAAACCAATAGATTTCATGTTGCTGCAAATACCCCCCATTAGAAGTTAGGCCACTGTTCTATGGTGACCGGTTCAAAACCATGTTTGAGAGGGCCCTGGTTTCCATTACCGCAGCACCCAAAAAAAAAAGATCGATATCAAAATGCAGAGCTTAGTGTCCCTGAAGTGGAAATAAGCAGTCATTCTTAGGCCTCACAAGCCCTCTGTTGGCTGAATTTACATTGTACCTTTAAAGACCATAAGTTTAGCATATCCCCTGATTTTGGTCTATAGTAGTAGGCGTTCTCTTTGATAACACAAATGACAATCCTATGGCTTAAGAAGCATCGCGAGAATACAACCATGCACAATAAACACACCCAACTACCACATAGCAATCGAAATAATTCAAAAAGGCAAGTGGTGCTAGAAGATGATGGTGTCCTTGGCAATGTCATTTGCTCCCCCTCCTTTTTACGTCGAGAGGGAAACTTCAACCCACTTCTTGCATCCTTGTAGATTGAAACTATTGACCCCTTCTAGCTTAAGTTGTACTACTAATACCAAGGCTTACAAAACAATCCCAACAAACTCATGGTTTTCCTATCGTTGCTTAGTTAATTATTATGATAAAAAGAGTCAAATATGAAAAATTGACCTACAATATTGCCCACAAAATAGGTCCTCGAATGAGCAAACATATATACTTCGAACACACCCATATTTTCAAGTTTTCAGCGTAACAAACTTGATATAATTCAGTAAGGAGTCAGGTTAATACATCAGTTTGTCCCATATTGATATAAAATTTAAAGGGACTTGGGGGGGGGTTGTCCTAAAGATGATGGTGCCTGTCCCTTGGCACCAATACTATTGTTGACCATCAAGTTACATCCAGAGGAAACTCCATCCCACTGTTGCAATCGCCAGGCCCGTCGGAGATAAATAAATGTCGTCCAGCTTTTGTGAGAGTAACGGAAGTGTGCCTACTGTTGTCGTAAAGTATTGCATTTGTTGCATTGCAGGTGACAAAAACCATGTCGATCCACTTCGGCCACGGCATGGCCTTCGTTGTAGTTAAAAACTGTGCAAAACAAAAAATGACTGGAAATTAATAACAGCTAATTGACAAGACAATTAGATATTAACCCTTTCTCGATAGTATATAACTGACCAATGATATCACCCACGAAATAAGCCCCGCAATCAGCCCAAGTGTAATAATCCATGTTTGGTATCCAACCTTGTGAGTCCCCGACAGTGTACACATTGGCCACGCTTTTGAGATTTAGCACGCTTTAAACTCACAAACAAACATACACAATCGAAGAACAAATCAATAACATAAAGTAATAAGAAACAAAAAAGAACAAGACACAAATTTTACGTGATTCGGCAATTGATCTACGTCCACGAAAGTGCAGGGATTTCACTATTGAAAGAGATGAATATAGAGAGCGGCTGTACAAAACACCATAAACCTTAATCACCAAAACAATAGGTTTTATATGTCCTGCGTACTGGGCTCTGCTCAAGCCTTCGCTCCATGGCCCAAGCTTCAGAAAATTTCTCATTAAAAAATCATGCAATATTATTTTGGATCGGATCATCATCCGGATTAACATACAAACTAGACTCCACAAAGACCCAACACACGCTTGACTTTGTAATACTTAAAACCAGTATAAAGAAAAATCCCACAGCAACTGACCTAGATGCTCTTCACACACAGAGAGACACTGCAACAGATAGAGAGAGAGAGAAGTGGGAGCTTTATAGTGAGTGGCTAACCAAATGAACAAACAGAAACTTACACTTCAAAGGCATCTTGATTAGGAGAGCGTATTACTATAGGTGATAGACGATGAGCGATTTATTACTTATAAATATCTTAGTTCCGGCGTGAATAACTTTCATTTGACCAAACCAAAGAAGAGATTAATCGAGGTGCGCGTACGTTAACCCGAACACCTTTTACCATTGAATCAAAAGAAAAAAAGGTACTTCCATTTTCAGAAAACTTTGTCAATAACTCATGTAATGGTGGTCCATACCTCTGTATATAGGCATGTACAATGTATTTTCATTATCACCAATATCATTTGGACCTCATTTTTTAACCTTAATCATTACAGTTATTAAATTGATAGTAAGTCCAACTAATTTTTGGGTCTATTGCAATCAAATAATAGTAATTGATTGTTTCATAAATTAGGTTAATAAATTAAAGTTAAATAATATTGCTCTTTCATTATTGGGGGCATGTTATTGTTGTTTAATAAGACTCTCGATAAATTTATATGCATAAATAGAAGGTAGAAAATGTGGGGATTGTGTTTCTAATCCTTTTTGCTCACATTTAAAAGATATGTGAGATGGAGTTGGAATTACTATATCATGCAACGTAGTCGAGATAGTTGGTAAAATAAATATAAACTAAGGTAAAAAAAAAAAAAAGATTCATGAACGTTTGATGTGAAAAATACGATAAAGACCATGGTATATGAAAGCTACACATTACTTGCTTGATCAGCAAATATAGATATGAAAGCTACACATTACTTGCTTGACCAGCAAATATAGATACCATGCATGTGTCAAACCAACAAAGTCAAACGGGCTCATCCCTCTTGACATAACTGTGCTTGCCAATTGCCATGATAGTCAGTTCAACTGTGCAAGCTTTCACCATAACCATCACTACCAATTCTCCAAACATAGGCACATAGCTTTCATCTCCATCTCCCTGTCGCTTTCTCTCTCAGTGCCTCTCTTTGTGTGTGTCTAGAGTGGAGCTTTTTGAACAGGAGAAAGAGAGTGTCATATTTATTTGTGTTTTATTGGGGTTTTATGTGGAGAAAACCTGAGCACATGTTCTCCTACTATTTGTACCACACTGATCCAAAATGGGTACATCTCTGATTACTTCTATGGTTAACCCAGGGGTGTCAAACTCTCTTTGGGCGTGTCTTTTGGTTGACAATTCATTTAGACCCTTCGAAGAAAGTTATTGTAGCTTTATCACGATTACATAAAAAAAAAGTGTTTTCACGATTACAATTGGTGTTTTGATATATCCTGCTACTTCATAATAGCATTAAATTACAAAACAAAGGTAATCTCATTTCCCACTCTTTAACTGTACCAGAATGATCTTCCAATTCCTATCGGTATTGGAAGTAAAGAGGCACATCAACGACTGGAATGGTTCACAGGTTCAGGAGGTATCATATTTTCCCAAATAACCTTAAGCGTATGATAGTACTGATCCCAAAAAAAAGGGACTCAACTGCAAAGGAGTGCTCTATCTTGATAGTGCCTCCCATGTTTATTACTTCCATTGCATAATCAAGAAAATGTGTATGTTTGTAACATAGATTGCTTGTCCACCCTGCAGGCATAAGCAGATGCTCAGCAACAATAACAGCAAATGAAACATGAAAAGCTTTTAATCTTTCATAACAAATGTATAGGATAATAAGGTCCTGCTGATCCATTTCATATAATCCTAAGATACACATTGGCATAGACATGGGAAATAAATATATCAATCCGAGTAATGGAATCCCCTTCGTTAGCTAGAAAGGATACCAACAAAATCGTCCCCTCCAGCATACAGACGTTGAAAATATGTTAAGTGATATCCTAACTATAGTCTCTTGACTCCTTTTTTTGAATTAAAAAAGTATGGCCTTGGCTTAGAGAGATATTAAGTGGAATATTTTGTCCAGAAAGGCACTCCTAGGAAGAGTTAATTGGCTACAAAGATTGCAGAAACAAGATCAACAAGTTTCAGAGACATACAGGCTTCTGTTCTCTATACTGGAATCATATACAAATATATTTTGCAGCTGCAACAAGATTCTTATTGATCGGAACTGATACCAGAAATTCTAGCTCTCATTAAACTTGTTTATTTTCTGTAAAAACCCTTTTCTTGCCCTAGATTTTGTTTCAATNTAAAAAAAAAAAAAAGATTCATGAACGTTTGATGTGAAAAATACGATAAAGACCATGGTATATGAAAGCTACACATTACTTGCTTGATCAGCAAATATAGATATGAAAGCTACACATTACTTGCTTGACCAGCAAATATAGATACCATGCATGTGTCAAACCAACAAAGTCAAACGGGCTCATCCCTCTTGACATAACTGTGCTTGCCAATTGCCATGATAGTCAGTTCAACTGTGCAAGCTTTCACCATAACCATCACTACCAATTCTCCAAACATAGGCACATAGCTTTCATCTCCATCTCCCTGTCGCTTTCTCTCTCAGTGCCTCTCTTTGTGTGTGTCTAGAGTGGAGCTTTTTGAACAGGAGAAAGAGAGTGTCATATTTATTTGTGTTTTATTGGGGTTTTATGTGGAGAAAACCTGAGCACATGTTCTCCTACTATTTGTACCACACTGATCCAAAATGGGTACATCTCTGATTACTTCTATGGTTAACCCAGGGGTGTCAAACTCTCTTTGGGCGTGTCTTTTGGTTGACAATTCATTTAGACCCTTCGAAGAAAGTTATTGTAGCTTTATCACGATTACATAAAAAAAAAGTGTTTTCACGATTACAATTGGTGTTTTGATATATCCTGCTACTTCATAATAGCATTAAATTACAAAACAAAGGTAATCTCATTTCCCACTCTTTAACTGTACCAGAATGATCTTCCAATTCCTATCGGTATTGGAAGTAAAGAGGCACATCAACGACTGGAATGGTTCACAGGTTCAGGAGGTATCATATTTTCCCAAATAACCTTAAGCGTATGATAGTACTGATCCCAAAAAAAAGGGACTCAACTGCAAAGGAGTGCTCTATCTTGATAGTGCCTCCCATGTTTATTACTTCCATTGCATAATCAAGAAAATGTGTATGTTTGTAACATAGATTGCTTGTCCACCCTGCAGGCATAAGCAGATGCTCAGCAACAATAACAGCAAATGAAACATGAAAAGCTTTTAATCTTTCATAACAAATGTATAGGATAATAAGGTCCTGCTGATCCATTTCATATAATCCTAAGATACACATTGGCATAGACATGGGAAATAAATATATCAATCCGAGTAATGGAATCCCCTTCGTTAGCTAGAAAGGATACCAACAAAATCGTCCCCTCCAGCATACAGACGTTGAAAATATGTTAAGTGATATCCTAACTATAGTCTCTTGACTCCTTTTTTTGAATTAAAAAAGTATGGCCTTGGCTTAGAGAGATATTAAGTGGAATATTTTGTCCAGAAAGGCACTCCTAGGAAGAGTTAATTGGCTACAAAGATTGCAGAAACAAGATCAACAAGTTTCAGAGACATACAGGCTTCTGTTCTCTATACTGGAATCATATACAAATATATTTTGCAGCTGCAACAAGATTCTTATTGATCGGAACTGATACCAGAAATTCTAGCTCTCATTAAACTTGTTTATTTTCTGTAAAAACCCTTTTCTTGCCCTAGATTTTGTTTCAATCTCTCCTCGTTGACAATTTTCCTGCAGGAACTTTTCTTTTGTTGCAACTAAATCATGAAAGAAGACACACAACCACCCAAATGGCTTGTCCAACTCGGTCAAAATAAAGCTAGTTCAACCTAACATAAATGTTCAGATGTTGCAGTCCTACATAAGCCTAAGAGAGATTGTCATTGCTACATGCGAAGTGCAGACATTCAATAGACTTTGACGGATTAAGCTTCCACTGTCTAGGATGGAACCACTTAAGTAAACTGGAGATATCATCAAAACTGTTCAGGGATTTGTGTTATGTTTTCTGAGATGACCATCATTGAACAACTAAACCATTTTTTAGATAGCTGCAATCCGTGTTGGGATTTTGTAATGTAAAATTAATCTGCCCTCCTCCATCTGCAGGAAGTCCTAAGAAAAGAGTTTATTTATATTCAAACTCACAATGTGCGTTCAGGATTCTAGATAATGGTTACACATGCAATGTAGCCTTGACTTAAACTTGGAAATACCTTCATGGCCATTTAAATAAGATTTGGACACTTTCAGCCTGTTGTAAGGCAATTAATCAAACTATATGTCAGAAGGGTCAAATAACTTGATTTATCTTTTGCAAACCTTTCTCACATTGATTCGGGTTGACTTATGCTCCAATGGGCCTGACCGAAGCCAAAAAAAAATTTTCTCAGATGAACCATGATGCCAAAATGTGAGAAAATCTACCAACAAAAAAATTTCCTAAAAAACAAATATTTCTGTTATCCTTACATAGTATCCTTCAGAAGGAAAGAAAAATGGAAATACCACCTTTTATGGGAAGATATGGACCTTTGCTCTGCTTAATTGACCTAAACAGATGTCTCCTCAATATTGATCTGCACAAGAGGGGCCTTTTCACTGGGCGATCCTAATCTCCTTATCTCATTGTTTCCCACAATTTTTTCTTCTTTAGCCTTTCCCCATATCACAGAGTAAAACCCCACAACAATAACAATTGATCCCACCAAACTGCACAAAGTTCAAATCTGACGGTGAATGATACTTCCTTATTGCAAACTTGAAAAACGGAGAGGAGGTGGGTCGGAGGAGGGAGAATAGAAAATGAAAAGACAGGAAAAAAAACGCAACAATCTGTATCAGCCAATCTTTATGTAATATAAGGCAACTCAAAACTGTACCTGCCAAGGTAGATATTATCACCTAAAAAGATGATACCAAATGCAGCTGAAATAACAATCCCCAAGGGATGAAACATAGCAACAAAAAGAGGCCCTCTCTGGTGCACACACCATGTGTTTACACTGACTTGAAATGCAGAACCAATAATTCCCTGAAAGTTTATCAAAGAAAGCAACAAGCGTGATGTAAGAAAATAAGTAAAACCAGTGAGTAAAATCATGATGCTCTTTAGACGCATCCACAGTGGGTGTATTTTATTCAATACGTCATACTGCAGCTCGAATTGATGTGATCAAGGATTTTTGTTCTAAGACAAGACTTTATAGGGCAAAGAATAAAGCAACAAACCAAGAAATAAATACAGGCCCACCAATCAACTTTCTTCAGAACTAATCATCTTTACGTGCCATAGTTAAATACATAGTTTTATCAACCTACCGAGTACATAACAGCAATCAATCTCATGCTAGGTTGTAAGGCCCATGCACTGAGGTCTCTGTCTGAAATCAAAGAGACTACAGCAGATAGAATGGCAGCAAAGAAGCAGTAGAAAAAGACTATAATCAGCTCGGCCGGGTATCTCTCAAGGATCAGTGCCTAAAAACAATTGGGGGAAAAAGATAGTCATTTGAAAGCGAAAATTTATAATTTTATATTGATTTGGTTTCCAATATTTAAGAGAGTTTTTAAACAACTACCTTACCTGTACAATAAGAAATGCTGAAGACACAGCACAGTCAACTGCAAGGAACAGTCCTCCTATAATCCAGTTTGATTGTTGTAACAGAACATGCTGATGATGGAACTTTGAATATGACGGGGTCCTTAAAATTTGGGGGCCTTTGTAGAGAGTCATTATGAAAGCCCCAATGATTGACACTATAGTTCCTATGCATTTAGCCAAGGTACTTGAGCTTCTAAAATTCAGTTTTTCCATCCTAAACCACACGTGTAAATAATATAACCAATAATCAGCTTATGATTTACAATTTCACTAAATTTCATTAGGTAATTACAGGTGGGATTAAAAACTATAGCATAAATTTTTTGGCAGTTACCAAAAAAGTTTCCTCATGGGGCATAGAGAGGATACGAGCCTCTAACTTCAGGGACTTGAAGAATCATGGACAAACTGACATGCAGAGGGGCTGCAGTAAGAGATGTCAGAGCTTTACTATGAGCAAGTCAGCCAAGTATCACTAGAACGAACTATCCTGATTACCTTTCACTAAAAATGAGCATCACAACTACTGATCTATCAGTTTGGGGGTGTCTAAACCAAGTCACCAGTGGGTATACGAAACAAGCAACAATAGTTTAATTTCATTGTTTCAGGCAGAACCAATCTAATTTGTACTCGAATATTAAGATATAAACATTTTAACTCAGCTTTGTAGATCAACAATGCCACTCCCACTCCGCTGCTACCCCCAAACACAAAGAGAAGACAAAGATGGGAATAAAGACAGACCATCGAATATCTGTTTATAGTCTAGATGAGCAAAATTTAGTTTTTTTTTCATTTTTTTCCATTTTTCACTCCCCCAACATTGCATTGCAGATTAAGATCAAATTGGGCGTGAACTTTTCTGCATCAAAGAACTAATTGACTATGAAAGGGTGGGAGGACTCAAACCATGCATCTCTGCATAAGCAAATTTGTGGCTCGCAATTTAAAGTTCCAGTGCAAACTTAACAAGTGCATTGTATCAACTAATGAACAGATTAATCAAGACAGAAGTGCAAAAATGATCTCCGAACAAATCAACCATTTTGATTTGCATTATGTGGAATGTATCACTATCTGCTAAGCACAGAATCTTACCCCCTAGGACCTACCCCTCTACTGACAAATGAAGATTAACAAGCAAATTGACGCCCTAAAATAATAATAAAAGAGCACCAGCAACATATTTACTCAAAGCCCAACCAAAAACACTGAAGAATTTTGCACCATGAAAGTCTTGCCCTGGAATTCAAATCAAAACAAATTTGGTTCACACCCCCGAACTCAATTTTCCAAATCCAAATCCAACTCCTCAATCCATCTTTCCACTACAAATTAACTGTCATTAAACCACACAAATACAAAACAAATAATTTTCCTAATCCACGTCCCCTCTATGATCACCATGAAATAGTGAGAGTAGGGTAGAACCTGAGAATGACGGCAAGAGCAAAAGTGAATCCTGGGATGAGGTTGAGCATTGCTGAGGCAAATGAAGCCGACGTATACTGAATTCCAGCATACCCAGTTAGCTGCGCTAAACAACTAGGAAAAAGAATCCCAGTTACCGTTCGTTAGCAAAATTCAATTTCATACATTAATCACGATTCAAGCACAATTTTTTTTGGAACTTTATTAAATGTCTGCAAGGTAATGCTATGATAAACCAAGATTTCAATTCCATAAATCTAATCATGATTTAAGCACAATTTTTACGAAACATAGTTACAATTTCTACAAATGGGTACCATGACATAACCAAATTTTACATACCCAAGAACACCCAGCAAGAAAAATCCAGAGACGAGAGAGAGAGTGAGTGGAGGACGGTCTGACCTGTATGCAATATCAATATAAAAAGAAAAGATTTCCAGTAATTCAATAGTCTTTCTGGATTATCAGTGTGTGTGCGTGTGCGTGTGTGTGTGCGGAGAGAAAGAGAGAGAGGGGGTACCTGTGGATGAGAAAGGAAGAAGGAAGAAGAATAAGGGAGGCAATAGCATTGGAGTAGAAGACAAAGGAAAAATTGGTCATCCCACTGGACAGAACTTCTTTGCTTATTATGATTAGTCCCACTTGTGCAAATTGAGACATCACCATACCCACAAATGGCACTGCATCCTTCAACCCCATCTCTCTCTCAGTTTTTGCTCACCAAACTTGTCCGGGATGGCTCCAATATTTCCGGTCTACCTTGTCATTTGGGATTCCGCTCGTAGGCCCCCCCAGTAGAGCTGGAGCGACTAGGAATTGGTGGTAGGACTCTCTTGGTTGACTAAAAGTGGTAAGAAATTCCTCACCGATTCAAATCCGACGTTCAAAAAGTTCCATATGATAATTGGATAGATTTTATTTTTAGGATTTATATTCGAATTCGGTAATAATTTAGAATTTAATTCAATAATTTGATCTAATCCGAATAATTAAATTTTAACAAATTATATTTAAATTTCAATTAATTCATTTAATATTTATATAAAAATATATAAATAATTTGAATTAAAATCATAATCGTCAAATCCATAAAATATAAGATTTTAAATTCGAATTCAAATTCTAATAATCGATAAAAAAATTAATCTATATCCAATTATTAGATATGTATTTTTGATCAGAATTCAATCAACAAACCCTAATTAGAGGTTGATTATAAACTTTATATTGTGATTTTGTATCCATTCTGTGCAAAATTAACCAGAATATCTCGAGTTTAGCTTGATATTATATTTATAGACTTACAATACAATCATTCAAGATTTGTATTCGTAGTTATCAATTTATAGGACATGAGACGAGGCTCAATTCTTATTGTTATAAAAAGACACAAAGAAACATTATTTATGACATTGAGCCTTTTTAAAACGATTTGAAAATTGAAATGAAAAAGTCTGAGTTTAAAAAATTTTTGAAAAGGTTTGAAGTATTTTCGAAAAAGTCCAGATTTTCTTGGACACCCTCGGATAAACCCTCCATTTGTCAGCTTTTTCTTAGTGCTAATAAAAGTTGTTTTTAAATAAAAAGCTAATGGAAAAAGTTGAGTAATAATCCTAGGTCTAAACAGACCAAACTTTGAAACTTAAAAAAGTTATCTCCCTCCTAAAACTAGAAAAAGTTATGATTAATCAGTTATGAGAGAAAAGTTGAGAATCTCAACATAAATTTATGTGACGTCCAAAATCCTTGTGTTTATAATTATCCGATTGATCAACTATTAACCCGTGAAATACCCGTGAATAACATGTAATTTGATACCACGTCGTTATGTTCTATTTACCGAAATCCATAACTTAACAAAATTTGGGCAGAGTCTCATTTGTACGAGAAACTCTACCCAAAACGTAACATGTACAATATTTATTATACTAGGTTTATCCATTCATTCACAATTGTATAGTATCGAATACTACCATATCATCATCATTTACGTACATTCATTCATAAAAGAATAAATGTCTCCAAAGATTTCCTCATACATAAACAAGTTTTTGTTACAAAAATTACACAATGTTAAAAGTAATTATAAATATGGGACTACGATGTCAAAAGAAGAGCCACAGACTGGCTCTGTCGTCAAAGCGAGCTCATGACCTCGCCTTCGTTAGACGCCTATGCAATACCTGAAAAATGTTCCTATAAAGGGTGAACCAACGCTCAATAGGGTAACTCCTATAGAGAATACCTCTCAACCTAAATGCATATAAAATGTCACATATAACAATCATTTCATACAATTATCATAAATCATGTTATGAGATAAGACTCACGAAAACAATACCAACACCGAGCCTCATCTTGAGCTCCTACAACACATACAATGTCATGCGTATGTATCTGGGCATTTTAAGCCCCCGTCATTGGAGTTATGTACATTCAATGACTTATTAATTTATTTTCTTGTGTCTTTGTGGGAAGATGATTTATGGTATTACGCTAATAGGACACCAACCATCAACGGATTCTCAGGACATCCCACATGCGGTTCCGTTTTGGCCGTTACACTTTTTTGGAATTTCACCACCGAAAAGTGTATAAACCAAGTAAGCAGGTCTTGCACCCGATGGAAAATCTAGTCATTCTTGCTATCATCGACACGTTTATCAATTTAATTTTTCGTGTGACTTAATCGAACCTTGGTGCAACTTTTCCGAGTCCACAATCAACCACCTATGCGGTGATTGATTTCATCTCATGCACACACTCTCACCCATGTCAATGCCCATAAATATAATGTAACTCATGCATAATGACATTTCAATATGTAATTGTCTTTGTTACCATTTACAATGTTCATTACATAAATAATACAATATACTGACATTTTTAACATGACAACATGTTTATCAATTTTATAAACATAAGCACAAGTCCACCACAATAATTATATGCTAAATAATCATTTAATATACATATTATTTCATAATCACATAACAAGTTAATAATTTCATTAAACTTGATATGTCATTTAAAACATAAAATAATGCTACTGTACAATTAACATATTTTAAATTACTAACATTAACTTACACCAAGTTAATCATAATAGAATTTTTTCTAATTACAAAGTTAATTATAAATTATATATTTGACCCACTAGTTACACTAGTCAAGACCTAACATGTGATATATACTCATAATCTACCCATTTTATATATCATATTTTAGATTGAAAATAAATTTAAATAGGGAAAACCCTACCTCTCGTAGCATTAGCCCACGTACTAGAACTTCGAGGAAGCCCAATTTAACTTCCCAAACTTAAGGCCAAGATTATCGTCTTTGATATTCTTTCAGAAAAAAAATACGATATTTAGTGTGGTTGCGTAGCTCTCGCTGAGTAGAACAATTTTAATTCTTGGTCTGAAACGATTAAACGATCCAATCTTCGTAGATCTGAAGAAGAAGAAAAGAGGAAAATGAAAAAAAAAAAACTCATTTCTCTCTCTCACTCACTTCGCAGCCAACTGGAGGAAGAAAAAGTGAAAGACTAAAGTCCTCCACACTTATATATATATTATAAATTAATAGTTTAAAATTTTATGTTTTTAACCCTTATATTTATAATTAATTATTATTTTATCTCTTTAATTAAGATTTTTAATAATAATAATAATAATTTTTTTTTTTTGGGTTTTACAATTTACGTGTTTAAACATAAGTGATTAGAATCCCAATGAAATTCATTTGATTGTCATTCTTTCTATTTTTTTTTCCCATGATTATGATCAAAACTTGGCTAGATATGAGAGTAAGTTTAATTCCTAAATGGTAAATAAATCACCGTTCAATCTATATTTATACTACTAGTTCAATCTATATTTATACTACTAATAAAAGTATCTTAATATAAAAAACTTTTGATTCACTATTTTGTCGATATAAAAAACTTTAAAGGTTGGCATATCATTTGATATTTAAATATACAAATTACAATTATATTTTTTTTATTTAAATAACAAACTAATCTCTAACATATCATGTAAATTCCTCTATCTTTGCAAAATTTTTGAATGGTCATGTTATGCTTAACATGATATATAAAAACAACATTATTCTTTTTTCCCAAAACCCTAATATTAATACACATCAATAATTTTATTGATATGATATCCTCTCTAATGCCCAAAAATTAATATATTTATTTTTTTTCTTCATTCACGATCAAAATAATTTGGTAAAAATTATTAAGACAAGAAAGAGAAAAGAAAAATAGTCAAGAAAATAAAATCCTATAACCCATGCTAACAAAAAATGAGTCAATTGCATGTTTATAGTTGCGAAGAAAATATAAATAATTTAAATATAATAATATGAGATAATATCTAATTTAAATAAATAATTAGATTTTTTTTTGCACTTTATCAAATCTTTCAACAATGGATTGCTAGTTTAAATAAATGTTGGATTGAACAAAAACAAGTAGACAAAAAACAAGAATCGAATAATAGAGATTCGGATTTGATTTATTGCACTAAAGGTGGTTCCTGGACATGAGTTTGCAGGAGAGGGGTCTTTCCATTGCTCGAGTCTAAGCCTTTCTGCCCCCCTTCCACCAGCTTTCCTTCTTTGGCCTTTCCCCACATCACAGAGTAAAATCCAATAACAATGACCATGGATCCCAACAAACTGCATAACATTCAATTGTAATCGTGAATGACATGTAACTCGGCCAGACAGAAACCAGAGAGAGAGAGAGAGAGAGTACCTTCCAAGGTAGAAAGCATCACCTAAGAAGATGATACCCATGGCAGTGGCAATGACAACCCCCAAGGGATGAAACATAGCCACAAAAAGAGGCCCCTTTCTGCGTAGGCACCATGCACCTACTGTGACTTGGAAAGCAGAGCCAAGAAGTCCCTATGTTGTTACAAAGAAAAACCACCAAAATGCATATTAGACAAAACATTATATTGCAAAAGTGATGATACCAAATCCAACTGGGTCCAGGTCCAATTTGTGGAGTAGGCCCAAATTAGCTACAAAGCAGGTTAAGTTCAGTTCATGAATTCGGCTTAGTCTAAGATTCAAGGGATCCAAGAAATCAGCGCACGTAGGGAGCAATCACCGGAATAGTCATTCTCAAATATCAAGATTATTTCTAATTGTACCTATCCTCAGCTATAATTATCTACTCCGAATGACTAGTCACTTATCCCTTCACACCACCGCCTCAAAGTAAGGTTTTGTGTCTATAAATTGTAAGCTTTCTACACATGATAGAGACACTTTTTACACATCTTCATCTCTCACACACAACTATCTCTCTCATAGTTACCTCACCACACTAAGAGCTTGTACGTGCTCTCTTTTCCCTCAACTACTTTATCAATAAAGTTCTCGTGTCACCATTGCCACCTTTAAAGTGGAGTAAATCACGCTGACTGTACCATTCTATATCTATGTTGCTTGTATGGATCTCATCTTTATATTTACTGTATTTATCCCCTATATTAATTATTTGACAGATGATGCATAAGTCCAATTTTGTGCACCATCATAAAGCATTACCCAAAATATTAGTGACTGAGATTAGTCCCCCAGAAATAGCTTGTAACGGACCAGAATATCATGTGACGGTCCGTGGATACCGTGGTAGCCCAACGGGTATGGCTATGGACTATGTTTTTTGTTGCATAGATCGGTTAAGCCTTGTGAATGCAGCCCGTCAAGTAAGCCCACAACATAACCCATTAGTCCACCAAAAATTCAGAACATATTGAATAGCCAAAGTTGTCGATATAGTTGGTGCTAGTGTTCTTTGGTGTTCTTTGATCTTGATCGAGCTAATTTATATAAAAAGCTCTGGATAGAAATTAAAGTAAACTAGTATAAACGCGAAAAACATTTAAAAATACAAACAGACCCATTAGGGTCGGCCCACAAGGCAGCCCGCCAAAGACCAGCCATGGGTTGATAGGCTCGCTACATGTAAGTGTAAGCTTTAGATGATTAAGAATTTAGAGTTAAAACATACATATATTAGTCCTTGTATCAATGCGCTTCCAAGCTCTAAACACAAGTCCAAACTGGATGATTTTGACTAATATAAATACCTCTAAAAACAATGAAAGGTTGTTTTTATCAACTTACCGAGTATATAACAGCAATCAACCTGGTATTAGATTGTAAGCTCCAAGAGCTCAGGTCATTTTCAAGAATCAAAGAAGTTGCTGCAGAAAGGATGGCCACAACACAGCAGTAAAAGAACATAATAAACAGCTCTGCTGGATAGTTCTTAATGATCAATGCCTGAAAACATTAAAGAGTATTAGTCATTCCCATTTTCGCCTTAAATGGAAGGTTTTTAATTCCATTATGATTCCGAGTATAGTAAGGTTTTACCTTAAAGACAGATTCGTGGGATAATATATAAGGATTGAATCTAAAATTTATTTTAAAGTTGTAATTAGTGATTGTAATTTTTACTATCTACCTTGTTCTGTAGCGTAGTCGAATCTAAGTTTTTTCACTTGAGCACGGTACCTGTGCAATGATAAATACTGAAGAAATCAAAGAGTCAATAGCAAGAAGTAATCCTCCAATCAGCCAGTCCGAATGTTGTGTGTGGAGATGAAGGGATTTTGAATGTGGGTGCAGGGTCTTCAGAATCAAGGGACCATCGTAGAGAGTCACAATGAGAGCCCCCGTGATTGACACTACGGTCCCGATTGATTTATACATTGTACTTGCACTTCTGCAATCTACTTTTTCCATCCTAAATCACCAATTTGAATTAGTTCACAGTCAAATAATTGCTATTGATCAATCTTTACGATTTAAGTCTCATCATAAGTTGAGTGTCGTAACCTACTTTGAAGATGGGTGGGACGATCAACAAGAGAAATTCGATGCATAGGGATAAACTATAGACGTAACATCTAACTAGGGAAGAAACAAACAATTTAAACTTTATTTGGTCACAAAAACCAACCATTGCCACTAGATCTAGTCATCCATGGACCACAATAAGATTGGGAAACTATATTTATACCTCAATTCCAGCAATGTAAAAGACCAACCGGCAGTGAGTCACCATTTTCAATTCCCTGTCTCTCTTCCATTTTCAAATTAATTTGGTTACAAATTATTTAAAAAACCATGAAGAAATTGTTTTTTTTTTTTTTATTTTCCAACTGAAACTGAATAGATTTAATCTCAAGGGTAACTCAAGTGATAATAAAGACGAACTGCAAATCCAGACATCTCAAGTTCGACTCTTGGCAACCCTTTCAGACCACTCATGAGAAATTTATTTTTTATGAATACCCTCGTTCCGGCATTGATAACACGTCTTTGACCAGATAAGGGAGGAGATTAGNATTTTAATCTCACCTTTAACATGCCATAAATATCTTGTTGAGGAACATGATTTATGTAACCATCCCCTATAACACCATTTGGAACAAGAAGTAACAAGTGCTAACCACAACACATACACTAAGATACTATCCGGGTGTGGGNCAAAAAAAAAAAAAGAAGAAACTGAATAGATTTGTAGTGAAAGGAGGCTATAACCTGAAAATAATGGCAAGCACGAAGGTGAAACCTGGGATGAGATTGAGCATAGCCGAGGAAAGCGATGCAGAGGCATACTGAATTCCAGCGTACCCAAATATCTGCACCAAGAAACTATAGGAAACTTGTATGTATCAATCAGTCAAATCTTCACAAACATTTTAGTTTCATAACATTATGCATGACCCCGAGGCGTGTTCGTGTAGTGGTATTACATACCCAATTAGTCCAAGCAATAAAAATCTGCCAAGGAGAGAGAAAGTGAGTGGAGGACGGGTTGATGATCTGCATCGAATGAAAAGACAAGATCATTATATATATAAGCATGTCTACCAGAGAGTCTGTGTGTGTGTGGGTGTGGGTGTAAATTAATGGAAGGGGTACCTGTGGATGAGAAAGGAGGAAGGAAGAAGAATAACAGCGGTGATAGCATTGGCGTAGAAGGCGAATGTGAAATTAGTCATCCCATCGGACATTGCTTTTTTGCTTTCTACCATTAGCCCCACCAGTGCAAACTGCACAATCACCATGGCCACGTAAGGCACTGCATCCTCCACCTTCATCTCTCTTTTTCTCTCTCTCTCTAGGTTCAGAGCACACACTTGTATATACCCACTCAGATACAGGTTTTGTAGGATTCACAAAAGCTTAAGCTACTTGATCTCATATGAATACTACACATCAAGTCTAGCCAGTAGAATGTATCCAACAGCTTAAAAAAAGTTCATAAAACTATGGGCTAATCTCATTTTTTACTCTAAAAGATACTTCAATTCTCAATTTGTACATTCAATATTATGAATTGATAGCAATGTAGATCTGACTCAAACTGTCATTCAATTTTTCATCAAAAATTGAAACACGTGAGTGCATGTGCTTAGGGCATGAGGATGAAGTATATCCATCGCTAAAACTCTGCATCTAAAATCTTTTTTTTTTTTGAGCAACTATCTACAATCAATTTGACACTATTTTGTATATTAAAAATAAAGTTTTATTAATCAGATAGAGGCTAATCCTCTCATGTACAACTCACATGAGGTACCAACAGTCTGTAAATTTTCATATAAACCCATACTCAAAACACTTACAACTGACATGCTTTAATTGATGATGAAAAACTAAACGACAGTCTGAACGAGGTGCACGTTGCTTCAAATTCATAATATTGAAGGTGCAGATTGAGATTTTTAATATTTGAGGATACAAATTGAGAATCAAAGTATTTCTTAGGTGCAAAGTGAGATTAGTCCTAAAATTATATTGGATTTGGGTTAAGTTTGATGATTTTATACTATATTGATTAAACCAATTTCAAGGGCTCACTGACAAAACTGGAGGAGACAGTGACTTAAATTTTAGTTGTTTGAGTGAAATTGTGTTAGTGTAGTTTTTGGAGAGGAATCTTATTGAGAGATGAAAAAGAATCTTGTACTTTACTGTCATTACTATATGAGTTTGTGTCAGTTTCAGTGCTAAGTTATTGATTAAATGATGACTTCAACCTTCAGCAACTTAATATGACAGTGTATATAATTCTAAAATCCTTGGTAAGAGAGATGAAGACAGCTTTGGATTGTGGCAAATATGCATATTATAAATCAACAACATGCCAGAAATAATGTCCATCTGATCTGATCTGATCTGATCTGATCTCTCAAAGTAATTTCTATCTATTTGGAGTCACCGGGCTTTTGGGCCCGGCAATGGACCGTACTTTATACATAGACACTTGTATTTTGCAGAAGAGGGACTCTATCAGAGGATTCATCAAAACTACATATTTCATGCTCTTTGACATCTTTCTGATCTTCTTTAGCTTTTCCCCATATCACAGCATAGAATCCAACAGCTATTCTGGCTGCTCCAATCACGCTGCAAAAAAACCATAGTTGTCCACTTTCATTTTATTTTAACGTGCTGGTATAAGACAGTGAAAAAGAAAGAGATACATGGAGTTTAGAATGCTTTTTGCAATTATTTTGATGGCCAGCGAAGTTTAAATTGCTTTGAGATTACTTCTGAACACATAATCCTATTGAGCAATGCTATTTCGACTTAAAATATTGACTTATTTTGTTTACCTAATCAATTATTATAATTGATTTAACTGTGAGTTTAATATCAATTTAACGACTATGATTAATCAACTGCATGTGTTCATCAAGTTTGATGAGCTTGAATTTTATTGAGCTAGACCCTATTTAAAAACCCCGGAAAAGCCCAAAGAAAAATCCAAGAAGAGATGCATTAACCAAAGAGTCAAGTGGGAGTCTAAAGCAAAGACCAAGTCCATCCTCAAAGGGGGCACCGCCCAAGGGACCAAATGGGTGCCACCCATGCCTTGCCCATCCTCCTGTCTTTTCTTCCCTCCAATGCAAGACCAAGATCACTCCAACTCCAAGCTCAAGCTCAAGTTCAATCTAACTCAGAGTTCTCCTCCGAATGAATAGGAGCACGAGAGAAGATAATATGAAGGTAGACATCGAAGATCTCCTACCATAACAATACTTGTCAAAATAATATAATTCTTCTCCCTCACGCCACCGCCTCTATTGTCTGACCCTAGCTATATAATGTAAGTCATCTCAACATTGAAGGCACACCTCTAAGGCCTTCGAAACCTACACTCATTACTTTCTCTCTCTCTAAGGCATTGTAACTCTCTGGAATACCATCATTCATAAATAAAGAACATTGACTACCGCTGTCATTCCTGAAAATGGAATAGATTTTTCGAGACCGAACCACTATAAATCTCTGTGTTGAGTTCTTATTTAAATTTTACCATTGATTGCTTGTTTGTCACTCATTAATTACACCCTTACACATACTTGACTGTTGAACTTGTACGAAAATAATTTTGTGCATTATCAAAGTTCTCGAACAAAGAATATATGCACCAGAAAAAGAGAAATTTTTTGTTGAGAGATTGATGTTTAGGATTTTCTATTGAAGTCATAATTTTTGTCTCTACGTCAGCAATTTTTAGGTATAAATAAATATTTTTCAATGCTTTTAGGATATGTTAAGCCTCGGCAAGTCATCCATGATCCATTAGTTGGCCTGTTAGCTTGACAAAAACCGGTAATGGGCCACAACATGGACTGCTTGATAGCCCAACATGTTGGGGCCACGGGCCCTATTTTTTGGCTATGTCAGGTGGGCCCTTGACCCGGACAACTGACAACATTGAAAAAAGCAAGAAATAGACAAAAAATAAAAAAAATTCTTTCAAAGCTAGTACATCTAATTAGATTTATTTGAGAAAAGTACATAGAACAAAATATTTTTAAAAAAAGTATACAACTGATATACAAAGACATAAATGCTCATTTTAGGATCATTTAATTCAAAATCTTTTATTTTTAATATACCTTGATTCATATGTATTTGTTAATATATATATATATATATATAGACACACATTTGTTGTTAAATCTCTTATCTAAATTCAAGGTTACATGGCGCCCCCTAACTTTATTCCCGATGATAGGGTAATGCATGGAGGTCACTTACGGATTATTTTTGTATACGTACTGCGTAAAAAATTGTCACCAACTCGAGATTAGGTCTTAGTTTCCAAGCACTTGGATCCCTTTCTGCAACTACAACAACTATGGTTGTTTGCAGAGTCTCAAAAAAGAAGCAAATGAGTGTTACCATAAGCTTTGCAGGGTAGTCCTTAATAATCTGTAAACCTCATACTCGTATCCTTATATATAGTAAGAAAATATATGAAATCTTTTATAATCAAACTTGTACCAACTATGTTTGATGTCCAAAAGTATGTTGTATAAGTTTGGGTTGGTTTTAGAAAGGTTTAGAATGGATTGAAAATGAAAAACAGAGGAAACAGGCAAAATCGAAAAAATCGTACCGGTATCGCGTATCGGTACAGCCGAAAGTTACTGTACCGGTACCCTGTAATCCAGAAGGTTTACCATATCGGTATAGTGTACTAGTACAGTCTCTAAAACTCTATACGATAATTTTATCGATTTAACCCGATTTTTCACCCTATAAATACGTAAGGACGCCTCCCTTAGCTCCATTTCAACATTTCTAACCCTAGGAAACCATAGAAAGAAGAAGAGAAACACAAGATCAAGAGGGATTTACACTTTGAATAGGATCCACACTTTGGATTCAAGGTAGGGGTTCCTTCGATTCTTGACCATTGAGGCTAGAACTTATATATATATGTATATTTTTACTCTCATTTATATATATATGCTATAAAATCATTATTTCTTATTATTTTTGCAAAAATTACCATGTTTTAAACAAAGTTAGGGTTAGATAACTATAAAAACTATTTTCTTGTCATAAAACCCTAGTTTCCAAGATAAATAGATTTTTCTCTTGTTATTGATTTTAAAATTTTAGTGTTTTGTAATGAACAATAAAAATGGATTGTTGATGATCTCTTACTTATTTTTTTAAATTGTTCTCTTGTAATACAAATTATGAAATTTGGAGATTTTGGATTTTCTTGTGATTTGAGAAAATATTTGTTATTACATCTCTTGTATGGTTGTTGTGATAGACTTGAATTACATTCGAGCACTGCCGTAGAGTGTTAGAAGTTAGTCTATCCCAGTGGGGGTGAGATGACTTCTTAACACTTGTAGTGGTTTGTTGTTTGTGAGAGCAACCACTATTGTTCACGTAAGTTCGAGGTTGAGGGATGATATACTTTTTGTAGAAAGGATTCGTCAATGTCGTGAGAGACGGAATACGCTCTTCCTAAAATGTTTGAGATTGTGTAATTGTGGTGGATGAACGAGGTAAAATCGTAGTGTAGATTCATGGGAAACAACCAACATACATGAGAATATGAGATGACATTATTGAATGATTATTTGATTTCTATCACTCCGACATGCTTATTCCTTTCATTTAAATTATTGTTATTGAGTTAACTTGAGATCAAATAAATTGTCACTGTTTTATTTCAAGTTATATATGTTATTTTGAAAAGTGAGACCGAACTATTTTATATTTTTTTTCTAAACCTTGTTCGAGTTTGGAAGAATGTTGCTACAGAGCTTAGTGCTCATCTCCTACAAACAACATATTTTTCAGATTTTGTACAAGAGGAGGAGCTCGGAGTCGATGAGCCGGTACATTGGGAAGTTCCACTAGATGGACACGTGGATTCCGAGGTAGATGGTTAGGGCTATACTCTTCTATGTGATAGACTAGGAAATTCCTTTTGAGACTATGTAAAGGCTAACATTTTATTATTCCGCTACAAAGTTCAAATTTAATTATGTTAGATGTAATTGTCATAGTTCATCATATTCTTTTGGATACAAGGGTCATGTTTGACATAATCTTTTGGGATGATATTGTAAATGTTATATATGATGAATGAAATTTTTTTTACTGATGGATTTTATTAGTTGCTCTCATGATGTGAATGATTTTAAATAGTAATGTCGTCTAAGGTGGTTTTTGGGGGCGTTACATAATCCCTGGCCATAGATGAGAGAAACATTCATTTTTGAATAATCATCGGATGTTCTTTAAACAAGAATGGTTGCAGAGAGAAAATTTTCAAGAGTTGTCTACCTAGACAATGAACAAGAGTGCAAGAAAGAAGTTTCCAACTGCACAGAGAATGCCACCAAAGATCCAATTCCATTGCAGCGTCAAAAAAGGTTCATATTAGTTTAGAAGGGGACTGAGAAAATAAGATTGAGGGGGCTTTTTAAGAGCCACAATGAGTGTCCTACTAATTGATATTATTGTACCAATCGACTTTGTCTTGGCTTCTCGGAATCTTCAATTCTAGCTTTTTCATATTAAATCAACAATACTCAATTGTGTTTGTTAAGAGTTGATAAACTTCAAGGTGTTCGTGCATTCTCAAATAGTTTTCGAATGGGGGAAATCGTATAAACTCGCACGTTCTGAGTTTGAGTATTTTAATCACTTAAATTTCAAGTGTAACCAATACAAATTATTTGTACATAATCCAGGGCGTCCCAATCGAAATGGGGGCTTTAGGCAAAAAGTGTAAATGGGGCCCAATTAAGGTTTATTGTAATACTATTAAATAATATTACATGTTCTATGTATTTTAATTAAAGCACGGAATATAAAGATTTATTGTGTTCTATGTCACACATCATAGAAAATAAAAAATTCATAAATAATTAATTTCAAGTTCAACAACCAACTTTTATTCATATACGATGCTGAAATCAATACCATGTTAAAATTAATGTTAGTCATTGATTTTTGTTTGAATGATTTATAATCATGAATTGAAAAAATAATGAAATACTAAAAATAATGGTTAGGGGATGACAGCCAATTGAAAAAAAGTTGATCAAAAAACTAGGGCTAAAAATTATTTTTGGTCCCTTAAAATGTGGGGGTCCTAGGCAGCCATTTTGGTGGCATAGCCTTAGGGCCGGGCCTGACATAATCGTATGCATCCAAGGTTGACATTCTAATCATAAGTCTAAAGAATACATAGCTTGACAAATACAATTTCCATAAGACAATAGAGACTTGGGGTGAAGGATAAGTATATATGTTTTTTACTTGTAAAATGTCCATGACAATGCTGGCAGATCATTGCCCCGGCAACTAAAACAGAACATTGGTAAGTGATGTAAGGTATTGTTTACTACTTGTACAGTTGTGTATGTGTCCCTCTGAAAAGGCATAGTCTATAGGGTTACTAACTTTTTTTTTTTTTATAAGGTTAATAATTGAGTATAACATACTTATCCAAAAAAACACCCAGCATATAATACTTAATTTGGGATATGGTTGTGAAATATAACGGTTGTCAGATGATATCACTAATTAATAATAAAACATTAAATGGATAAGGTGAACTATATTTGAGTAATTATTGACTTACATAGAAGAAGAGTGATTAGTTATTGGTTCAATTGGATGGGTAGAGGGTTTGTGTGTAATATTTTAAATATTGGAGGATTTGAGTGATTAAGTGATAAATCTCAAAAGATCTGGATATAATTTTCCCTAATTATAAATGTGTGGGATATAATTACCCCATAAATATGACGTAAGTTTCCATTTTGGGAACTACATAGTCGTGGTTAGCCTAATGCTATTTTGAATTTGTGGTTTGACGAGGCAAATCACATTGTAAAACATCATCGTAATCACATTGTAAGACATCATCGTAATCCTCTCTCTCTCTCTCCGGCCTCTTTTGTTACGCGCACTTCTTAGGTGACCAGGTAGATATGCTTATTTGATCAGGTAGATTTTGTTTGGATCGAATTTAAGGTCTTTCAAATTTTAATTTAAATTTAATTAAAAAAATAAAATTTGAATTCAACTTCGATTAAAAATTTTATTACTGAATTCGATCTATTTATCTGTGAATATTATTTTATATCCAAATTCATTTATAATTAAATACTTGGTTCGATTATTTGATTTAATTTATAATGATATTTCACTAACCAAAATTCTTATCTAAGTTTCTTGGCCCAATGTAAGTATCTGTCGGCTTATTTTTTTTACAGGGTATGGTAAAAAAGAAAAATGTTATTTATACATGATTTATCGGTTTAATCAATTTCAATTATTAAATTGGTGACATATTTAAATAAATATTGAAACTCACAGTTGAATCAATGACAGTAATCAATAAAGTCAATAAATTATGTGAATTTGTGATTAATGCTATGTAATCCAAATAATAATATTAAAAATTTACCCAAATAATACGTATTTTCCCTATTACGTCATAATACAAACTGGGGTTTTGTATCAGTAATTTATGGGGTTCAGTGATTAGGGGTATTCACTCTACCCTATGGGTAACAATTATGATATTTTATCTTTCTACCTAATACTTTATCGAATAATTTTTTCTTGTCCTATCATGTCCGATCAAGTATATTATTCCTATCCGAATTCCCTCCAAAATAATTAGGTAGGAAATCGGATGCACACATATTTTTTAATTTTTAATTTTTAGATCATTTTAAAATTTTAATTAAGTAGCATGCACCAATAAACTAATAACACTAAAAAAAATACAATAAATAAATAATTATAATAAAACACAATAAGAAAGTCATAAACATCAATACATTATATATAAGAAAGCCATGAACATTAATAAAACATTAAGGTTTCTAAATTTTTGAATTTTAATAGATATATATGTGTATATATGTATATATATAACATAAAAACAACATGACACGACTAAACTGTTACTCTTCGGTACAACAATGTACTAATCCGTATTTATTGTTTTCCTTCTTTCATCGTTTGCCATTCTTCTATACATGAATACTTCTGTTTTGCAGAAGAGGGACTCTCTCAGAGGATGCGTCAAAACTACATATTGAATGGTCTTTGATGTCCTTCTCTTCTTCGGCTTTTCCCCACATAACAGAATAGAATCCAAGAGCTATTATGGCTGCTCCAATCACACTGCAAAAGAAAACCAATTAGCTAACCCGTTAGCTGGGCCCTAACCGATCATGGGCCAGACCATGGACTGCCTGATACCCAACAAGTTGGGGCCATGGACCTTGAATCTTTGGCCCTTTTGAAGAATAAAAATGGGAATACCTCACCTTCCAATGTACAAGGCATCCCCAAGAAAAGTAATTCCCATGACAACTGCAATGACCATGTCAAGTGGCTTAAACATTGTAACAAACACAGGCCCCTTCTTGCGCAGAGCCCAAGTCATAACAACACTTCGTAGTGAAACCACAAGAATTGCCTAGATATCAAAATCAAGCAGCACATCAATCAGATACCGTTACAAGAGCGGAGTTCCAAAAATAGAAACCACAATTCCCAACATGATGAGGTAGAAAATTATGGGTCTTTTTTTTTTTTTTTATTCAACGGTCAGGGATGTTCGAGCCCACTTACAAGTTTCTCGACTAATTTCCTTCCCGATTCGATCAAAAACAGGTTATTCATGCTAAGACTTGACAGATCCCAAAAAATTGTTTAAGTTTCAACTTAGGACGTTCAGATTTACAGTACCTATTATCACTTAAACTATCACTTGGAGTTAAATTATGGGTCCTTTCATATGCATACCGAATAACAAATCGTCGCCAACTTGAGATCGGGTTTGAGTTTCCAAGCATTTGGATCCCTTTCAGCAACAAGAGCAACAATTGCTGATTGTAGTGTCACAAATGCGCAGCAAATGAGTGTTACCATGAACTCTGCAGGATAGTCCCTTATAATCCTTCCCTACATAGGTGTGAGAGTGAGAGACATTTGATTTTCGATAATCTTTTGATATTTCTTCAAGCAAGAATAGTTGTTGCATAGAGAAAATTGAAGACAGAATTATTTACCTGGACAATGAATAAGAGTGCAAGAAAGAAGCTGGCGGCCGCACAGAGAATGCCTCCAAAGATCCAATTTGAATGGGGTGACGCAAGAGGATCATATATTAGTTTAGAAGACGATTGAGAAAATATAATCGAGGGGCCTTTATAGAGCGTCACAATGAGCGCCCCAACGATTAATACTATCGTGCCAATCGATTTGACTTGACTACTCAATACCTTCAACTCCACCTTTTCCATCCTAAACAAAACCAACCAATTCTGTATAAGTACTTGAGAATTAGTAAACATTAAGGTGTCTTGTAGTTTTTCATGCATTAAGATAAATAGTTGCATTTCTCCTCTAAAATATGAATATAATCATCAACAAAGTAGGAACTCATCGTCCCTTGTTCGGGACTTAAAAAGTGCCCTAATCTATCTTTTTAAGGATATTGAGAGAGCCTTTGAATGACCTGTCCAATCTCACTAGAATGAAAAATAATAATAAATTGATATTCAACCTTAAATTTTGAGTCATTTGTGATAAAGAGTATCATAAATATGTTACATCTCTTCAACAAAAAACTCTCAAAATGTCAAAGTTTTTTTAAATTTTTATCCTTATCATCTGAATTTATGGCTTTGTAATTTTACATAAATAAATATTCAATTTCATCATGGTCCATTTAAGGCCCATTAGGGCCATCCTTATGGGCTACGTTCTTAAGTCATTCGAATTAATTTATGTGTGCCTCAATTAATCACCTCTCTAACTTGGTCAAAAGTAAGTGATTCATGCCGGAATTAGGAAATTTAAGGAATTGCAAAAATTTGAATTTAGGACTTCCAAATTAATAATTTGTCCATATTATCTCTTGAGCTAGCTTTGAATTTACTANTCCCCATCTAAATCCAATGTTCTTCTTGATCACTTTGGTAAGTGGTGCGGGTATGCTACTAAATTCCTTCACAAACCGCCGATATAAACTCGCAAGTCCATGAAAACTACAACCATTAGTTACACTTGTGGGACTCAGTCATTCTTGGATTGTACGTACGTTCTTTGCTTCGAAATGGTTATGGCAGTCAAATATGAACTCCATCTTTTCTCCCACACAAGATATGCTTCAGGATCAGATCTATCTTGAAATTATGGAATCTTCATCTTAATACCACCCAAGTTGTTATCTCCCTGTTCCTAGCTTCTCTAAACTGCCCTCCTTCTATCCTATTACTAACAACAGAAGTCTGTTCATCTTCTTCATAAAAACTTNTATATTATTCCTATCCGAATTCCCTCCAAAATAATTAGGTAGGAAATCGGATGCACACATATTTTTTAATTTTTAATTTTTAGATCATTTTAAAATTTTAATTAAGTAGCATGCACCAATAAACTAATAACACTAAAAAAAATACAATAAATAAATAATTATAATAAAACACAATAAGAAAGTCATAAACATCAATACATTATATATAAGAAAGCCATGAACATTAATAAAACATTAAGGTTTCTAAATTTTTGAATTTTAATAGATATATATGTGTATATATGTATATATATAACATAAAAACAACATGACACGACTAAACTGTTACTCTTCGGTACAACAATGTACTAATCCGTATTTATTGTTTTCCTTCTTTCATCGTTTGCCATTCTTCTATACATGAATACTTCTGTTTTGCAGAAGAGGGACTCTCTCAGAGGATGCGTCAAAACTACATATTGAATGGTCTTTGATGTCCTTCTCTTCTTCGGCTTTTCCCCACATAACAGAATAGAATCCAAGAGCTATTATGGCTGCTCCAATCACACTGCAAAAGAAAACCAATTAGCTAACCCGTTAGCTGGGCCCTAACCGATCATGGGCCAGACCATGGACTGCCTGATACCCAACAAGTTGGGGCCATGGACCTTGAATCTTTGGCCCTTTTGAAGAATAAAAATGGGAATACCTCACCTTCCAATGTACAAGGCATCCCCAAGAAAAGTAATTCCCATGACAACTGCAATGACCATGTCAAGTGGCTTAAACATTGTAACAAACACAGGCCCCTTCTTGCGCAGAGCCCAAGTCATAACAACACTTCGTAGTGAAACCACAAGAATTGCCTAGATATCAAAATCAAGCAGCACATCAATCAGATACCGTTACAAGAGCGGAGTTCCAAAAATAGAAACCACAATTCCCAACATGATGAGGTAGAAAATTATGGGTCTTTTTTTTTTTTTTTATTCAACGGTCAGGGATGTTCGAGCCCACTTACAAGTTTCTCGACTAATTTCCTTCCCGATTCGATCAAAAACAGGTTATTCATGCTAAGACTTGACAGATCCCAAAAAATTGTTTAAGTTTCAACTTAGGACGTTCAGATTTACAGTACCTATTATCACTTAAACTATCACTTGGAGTTAAATTATGGGTCCTTTCATATGCATACCGAATAACAAATCGTCGCCAACTTGAGATCGGGTTTGAGTTTCCAAGCATTTGGATCCCTTTCAGCAACAAGAGCAACAATTGCTGATTGTAGTGTCACAAATGCGCAGCAAATGAGTGTTACCATGAACTCTGCAGGATAGTCCCTTATAATCCTTCCCTACATAGGTGTGAGAGTGAGAGACATTTGATTTTCGATAATCTTTTGATATTTCTTCAAGCAAGAATAGTTGTTGCATAGAGAAAATTGAAGACAGAATTATTTACCTGGACAATGAATAAGAGTGCAAGAAAGAAGCTGGCGGCCGCACAGAGAATGCCTCCAAAGATCCAATTTGAATGGGGTGACGCAAGAGGATCATATATTAGTTTAGAAGACGATTGAGAAAATATAATCGAGGGGCCTTTATAGAGCGTCACAATGAGCGCCCCAACGATTAATACTATCGTGCCAATCGATTTGACTTGACTACTCAATACCTTCAACTCCACCTTTTCCATCCTAAACAAAACCAACCAATTCTGTATAAGTACTTGAGAATTAGTAAACATTAAGGTGTCTTGTAGTTTTTCATGCATTAAGATAAATAGTTGCATTTCTCCTCTAAAATATGAATATAATCATCAACAAAGTAGGAACTCATCGTCCCTTGTTCGGGACTTAAAAAGTGCCCTAATCTATCTTTTTAAGGATATTGAGAGAGCCTTTGAATGACCTGTCCAATCTCACTAGAATGAAAAATAATAATAAATTGATATTCAACCTTAAATTTTGAGTCATTTGTGATAAAGAGTATCATAAATATGTTACATCTCTTCAACAAAAAACTCTCAAAATGTCAAAGTTTTTTTAAATTTTTATCCTTATCATCTGAATTTATGGCTTTGTAATTTTACATAAATAAATATTCAATTTCATCATGGTCCATTTAAGGCCCATTAGGGCCATCCTTATGGGCTACGTTCTTAAGTCATTCGAATTAATTTATGTGTGCCTCAATTAATCACCTCTCTAACTTGGTCAAAAGTAAGTGATTCATGCCGGAATTAGGAAATTTAAGGAATTGCAAAAATTTGAATTTAGGACTTCCAAATTAATAATTTGTCCATATTATCTCTTGAGCTAGCTTTGAATTTACTATTGACAATCAATGACCTGGTGGCTTAGCCCACGGGCAGGCAAAACAATTGAATGTTGGGTCAGGACTGCCCGGCCCCGTTGGTTGCGACACTTAACAGGATTCATCTCTATAGTAATTAACTTGGCTAATACCTAAGGTTGGTAATTAAGTCGAGTTTATTTTTTTAAACGAGTTTAAAAAATTATTCAAATTTGTTGTATTTAAAAAACAAATCAAGTTTGAATTGAGTCACAATGAGTTGAGTCCAAATAGCTCAACTCGATTATCAACTTTATTAATAACGTATAACATATTGTGGAATCAAACGCTCTTAAACTTTAATGTGAACCTAGTTTAAACAAAAAAAAAAAAAAAAGGTTGAATGTGTAGAGATGAATAGTATGCTTGTTAATGTAGGAAAATTGGTCGGTAAAGATTTCTTTCATTCTACATTTCTCATTGTCCAAAATTAGAATTAAAATTTAATTTTATATAGGAAAAAAAATCGACAAAATCTTTGTGATTTCAACTGCACACCCATGTTGCGACTACATTGATGTTGACATTATTATTTGAAATTTTATTTGCTCATTAGCTAGTTTTTTTTTACCAATTCAAGGTACTTTTTAAACCTTATTTACTATGATATTGTATTTTTAAATTTATTTATCAAATTACGATTGTTTTCATGAAATCGAGTTTATAAAGCAATATTAATTTGATAAATAAGTTTAAAATTATCGTACTACAATTAAAAAAAAAATTATGGGACCCACAATTTGAAATCTGTGGTGCACGTGAATTTAAAATATAAGATTTGAGTTTTAATTTGGACTTCAAGTTAATTTTCTACTCTTACACATAATTTATTGACTCAATCTTTTATTTCTGTTGAATTAATAGTGGGTTTAACATGGGATTTGTAACATTAGATTGAGTCAATAAATAGATAAATAAATTATATCTAACTAATATTACTAATTCTTGTATCATCTTTCTCAAGGCCCATTAAAAAAATGAAAAAAAAAAAAAAAAAGAGAAAGCAAAAAAAATAAGCTTATTAAAGTCCAGAGAGTGGCCCCGGAGAAGTGTCATTAACTCATTTAGTAATTTCTAGGGACCACCAATAATTGAAGTCATTCAATGGCAAACCAATGTGGGCCCCAACCAAATTTAAAATTGAGCAACCATTCATGAATCAATATGGTCTCGTTTTTCAAATCACTGAACTAATTCATACTGGTTGTACTCCAAAATTGTTGCAAGCATAGAATTAATCATAAGACGTGGTTCAAGATTTTTGCAGCAAATGGTCATGAAGCTTCCATTAAACCAGCAGGAGAGAGAATATATACGCTTGATAGGAGGAATACATATATACCTGGTGATAATTGCAAGTATGAAGGTAAAAGCTGGGGTGAGATCTATCATGGCTGAGGCAAGAGTTGGAGAGCTATACCCAATCCCAATGTATGTACAAACCTGCACACTACAACTTATCCCCAAAAGGGCACCATAACATAACAATAAGTCCGAGTGGTCAAGCACAGTTTTAGCAATAGTAGGCATGATCTATGAACGGGATACGAAATTTATACAGAATTAGAAGAGTGGAGTATAGTTTTAACTAGTTTATGTAATAAATGGATAAAAAATCTGATATAACTATCCAAATATATGTGTTGACACGGATCTAGTTAAAAAAACACGAACCACTTAACAGGCCTATACGATCCGAATCCGATATGCCAATTTTAGAAAACCGACAGTTGACAAATGTTGAGGTACCTGAGAAGGCCAAGAAGAAAGATTCTGCAAACAATGGAGAAGGTGAGTTGAGGGCAAGGCCAGACTCTGCAGATGCATAAGACAAAAAAGATGAAAATTCATAGATTGTGGTGTAAGGTCTGAGTCTGAATTATAGAGATTGTGATGGAGATAATGAACAGACCTGTGAAAAACCAAGGTAGAAGGTAGCAGGAAGAGTAAAGCCATGGCGTTTGAGTACACAATGAAGACGAACTCGCTCATTCCTTGCCTCGTGGCTGCTTTTGTTAACGTGTTTAAGCCCACCTCCACACACTCTATCGCCACCAATATTGCTATCATCCCTGTGTTCCACATCTCTCTCTCTCTCTCTCTCTCTCTCTCGCAAATAGAACGCACTTTTAAAGCTTTTCTCTCCCTTGGTGGTTGCTACTTGCAAATGGAATGCGCTTTGAGTTGACTCTAAATTTGGTCTCAAAATTTAGTCAGTATAACATTACTCTTTGTGATATAGTGTGACAGAGGCAAGAAAAAGTTTGAGAGTGAGCACGTTGCCACATTTTAATTTTTTTTTTCAATTAAAACTTCTTATCAAGAATAATATCAATTATTGTCACTTAAAATTGACACTGATATAGTTTTATTATTTGAAGGAGTTACAAATCAATCTTATCAACAATATTTCTTTTATATATAAAATTGTAATAATAATATTTCATTTATGATCCTATAATTTACTATATAGCAATTAGCGACACACATTTTTATACAATAATAAAATAACCCTACAATTTAAAAAAATTATAAAATAACCTTAATATGTTCAAAACATATTCGAATATGTCTTAAACGTGTCTAAAAGTTAATAATAATATTAGTTTCACATAATTTGAGATTTAATTAGTAGAGGCTCAATGGTTTGTGACCATTGAATAGATAGTAGAGTTTAATAAATATTACGACTCATTATCAAACTTAATATCACAATGCATTAGACCTCAACAACATTTTTCAAAAAGTTATTAATCATTCAGGTAAGGAGTTATTCAAATTGATATCACTATAACACAATAATAGGGTGAACACACTAAAATATGTCTAAATCTTATTTTAAAAAATATATGTCTAATATGAAAGGAAAAAAAATTTGGGGGAGGGGGGTCATGTGCCCACCCTAGCCCAAGGGTGACTCCGCCCCTGGGTATAATTACCATGAAAAATTAACCTCATAGTTAAAATAATAATACTATTTGTATTTAATATTGAGATCCACGATTGATCTAATTTTTACAATACATTTATTTTTTTGTGTTTTTTTTGAAAAGAAATAGCGTATTTTTCAATAATTTTTGAAACTAATTTGGATGTTTTGACTTGAAACAATGAATCCACACATTTTAATCCAAAAAAATGAAGTTGGGCATTCAAATCAAGAATATACTTAAATAATGTAACAATAAATAGTTCACATTAAAAAAAAAAAAGAACACACAATATAGGGTTAATCCACACATCAACACAATCCGGGATCCATGTTTAAATCACAAATAGTGACATTTTTCTTTCAAACAAGCAAAACAATAGAAAATAGGTACTCAATTTACAACTATATCAAAATTATGCGACAACAAAGAATGATACAGACAAAGCTCCAAGAAAAATAAATCAATTTTTCAATAATTTCCAAAATAGGTTTGGCTGGCTTAATACGAAACAATGAATTCAAACATTTCAATCCAAAAAAATGAAGTTGGGCGTTCAAATCAGGAATATACTCAAACAATATGACAATTGATAATGCACAAATTGGTCTTGTACAAAATCAACAGTCGAGTATATGAAGGAGTGTAATTAATGAGCAATCAATAAAGAAATCAATGGCAAAACAATAAATAAGAGCAAACACGCAGATATATAGTGGTTCAGTTCGGGTGACCTACTCCATTCTCGAGAAACGGCAGTGGTGGTTGGATGTCTTTATTGATAAATAAAATAACTGGGAGAGTACACTCCAGGAGAATTACAATGGTTAGAAGAGAGAAACTTGGTGTGTAAAGGAATGCCAAGGTGTGTTGAGAGATGTGTGAGTGAGATGTAGATATCTCTCTATGTGGAGAGAGCTCACAATATATAGGTTTGGTGAGGCGATGACATGAGTAAGATGACACTACTTCTTTGGTAAGTATAGTTAAGGTAGGATTGATCTTCATGAGTGCATATCCTGATAATCTCTCTCCCATGTACTCTTATCTTCCTGGGCTCTTTGGATATTGAATTGGATCAGATTGATAAAGTGGGATTGGGCTGCCTTTTAGTTGACTTAGGCTTGTTTGATTCATTGGGCCTAACCTAGCTAGATTTGGGCTTATCATTTGCCCCCCCCCCCCCAAACCTCCAACTGTTTGCTAGAGAAAGGGGTTGAGAATATGTGCTTCTTCTTCACATGGATGAGCAGAACCTCTTCATTTTCAGGGACTCTATTGAAACCATTGACACTGGGTGCTTTTTGCATTTGACTGCACTTCTTTCACTAGGTCTTTTGTCAATCTTGAAAAAATCTTGTTTATATATGGAAGCATTTAGACTCCCCCACTCCATTTCCTCTTCTCTTTTTTTTGGAGGCTTTTCTCAAAAGCTATTTTTTTCCAAATCCATTTTTCTCCAAATCCAACCGAGATGATGAAGGCCAGAAGCTTAAAGGAGATGGGAGAGAAATCCAATGGTGATCCCATGAAGAAGAAGACAGCTGGTACTGACATGGGCAGCGCCGACAATGGAAAAGGAATATGAGGTTCCCATTCTCTTATGTGCCGCGGTCAAGGTGGAGAGGGTGGTGTTATGGGAGGTGCCCATTTTGCTCAAGGCCATGATCAAGGTGGAGGAGGCGACACCGATGTCTCAGTCAGCGCCATGGGAGGCGCCCAAGGTGGAGGGAGGCACCCAAGAGAAAGGCGCTCAGGAAGGAGGCACCCAAAAGAGAGACGTCCAAGAGGGAAGCGCCCAAGAAGGAGACGCTCAAGAGGGAGGCCGCCAAAAGGGAGGCACCCATGAGAAAGAGCATTTTCATGAAAAGTATTGAACTCAAAACAATGACTAAAACTCAAAATTAGCTAAAATTTAACTATTGAAAGATAAAAATTATGCTCCAACAAAAAAATTAGCTATTAAAGATAAAAATTATGTTCTAACAAAAAATGTCAAGAGTAGGTAAAATATAATTTTACTACAGTAATGCTCTATATTTAGAACACCACTATTGCATTATGTATAAATAATTTATACTATATTTTCTTTCCTCTTGTCCTTTCTCTCCTCGTTGGCCCACTCTTTGTCTTTTCTTTCATTCTTTCTCTATCTCTTTTCAATATTTTCAACATAAATACAAAATATGAGAAATAATATTTAAAAAAATAGTTAAAAATATAAAAAATCTGTTAGAATGTATATTAAAAAAGTGAATAACTAAAATAAAAAAAATATACCGAAAAAGTCATTTTGTGTCGGTGCACCAAAGAGTGAAAACTGCCAGAGAAGCACTTGTTCGAGTATCTCATTTATTGAACTCTGAGAGAGCATCTTTTTTAAAATATTGAGCAATTTTAGTAAAAAATTATAATAAAAAGTAAATTTTTACACAACATTTCAATAGGACTTTCTATTCTTATGATTTGACAACAAATTTTACTTTTCTCCTATTTTTTCTCCTATTTTTTCTCCATTATTTTAAATGATATATATTTATCCTATATGTCTAAAATGAAAAGATCAATATATTATTTTTCTGTTCCAAAAAATAGAGAGAGTTTCACTCTCCAAATATAAAGAGTCAAAGTATTGTATCAAAAAATTTAAAAGTTAAGAGGTGTAACTTATAACTTTTAAATGTCATGATCGATCATGTAAGATTGGTATCGATATCAAAGTTACGATCTTCAAAGTTTAAATTACATTTTTTAAAGATAAAATTACAACTAATAAGAGAAAAGTTATAAATATTTAAGAAAAGCCCATAATCGATCATGGTTATCTATAATTGATCATAATCTTTCTTGAAACAGTTATAACTTATCTCTTTAAAAATATAAATTTATTATAAAAAGTGACAATCGACTACAAATTACACATTTTTTACTGTAGACATTCCCAGTAATAGCCAAGAAAAATAGTATTTATTAGTGCCAACAACTTTGGAAAGCATCCATTTATGAGTCGGGAATTATGAAGTACAGATACGGATATGGAATGCGAGTACGATACGATACGGATACAACGACGGCGATACGACAAAGTCTAAAAAAGTAGGATACGGGTACGGCCAATATACGGCTATAATAAAATATATTTAATATTTTTATTATTTTCAACCAGTTTAATACCTATATATTATGGTAGTTTTTTAATATAAAATAAGAAAAATTAGTAATTTTTTTTTAGTTTCAAGAAAATATATATCGTATCGTTATAGTATATTCACAAAGTGAAGTGACTAATTGAAGGAATCAAAGCTAATATTTATCTAGTATTTAGAAATTATTTTTGCTAAGATAATAATGTAATAGCTTTATTTTATACTCTTTTGACATATAATTATAAATAATACTTAAGAAATTCTCATGTATTTTTGAAGTAATATGAATTTTTTGTTAATGCATTATATAGTATGTGAATTCAAAAAAAGATTTTAAAAGTTTAACTCAAATATTATATATGTTACTCGACCACAAAAATATCTGTGAAGTATTTTAATATTTAATTATTATCGAATACGTATAAAGTATATCTGATACATAACTTTAAATATTCAATGAATATTTTATCCAATACAATATCAGATACGAATACATCAATCTCAACAAAATATCGGTGCTTCATAAGTCGGGACATTGTATTTCTCTCTGTTCTCAGTATTTTGTTTCTATGTCATTTTTTTTTTTGTTTTTTTGTTTTGTTGTGGCTGAGGTTTAAGAATGATCACGTACAACCCCAACTAACAACTTTTAAGGAAAACATGTCCATGTGCAGTCCTATTACGAAAAACAAAGGATTGGTACGGAAGTAATTGTTTTGGTCTCATACCTTTATTTTTTATTATTTTAATAAATATTTTTATAATTTTTATAGATCATTTTATAATCAAAAAAATTATTATTTTTATAAATGATTTATCATTTTTATGGGTATTTTTATTATTGTTATGGATGTTTTTATTATATTTGTAGTAATTATTTTTACTATTTTTCTTTAATACAAAAACATATACCACATTCGTGAGTGTGGTAAATGTATCAAATCTCATTTATAACTGTCATAATTGATAAGGGTTTTTTACGCTTTTTATTTTTAAATATTAAATTTTTTATATTGTGTCTTTAATATT